ACTGTGACTTCTTCGTGTTGACTGCGTAATCGTTATTACGCTAGACTGAGACTGCGACTGAGACAAAGACTCGACTGTGACTTCTTCGTGTTGACTGCGTAATCGTTATTACGCTAAGCTAAGGCAAAGACCGACTGGCTCGTGGCAAGCGCAGCCATTAAATATTCTCGTGGTAATTTTTAGGCGCCGGTAGCGATCCGGTGTCTGTTGCTATGCCAGTATTTTCGTGACGTCAATAAGGGATAGTTTTTGTAAGTTTCATTATTATAATTCTTCAAAATTATAGTCGTATGTTCGGGTTTTCGGCGTAGAAACATTATTCGAATTTGTTGGAGAGTGTTGATAAACAACCGTTCGCGCACTCATACCTCTCCCACTTTTGTATTCCGCTTTCAACTGTTTCAATCCGTAACAAGTATTACATATTTATTTTCAAATTATATATTAAAAACTAAAATGAGGGATTACTGAAAAATTGTTTAAATTGAATATGATATATTATAGTTCCCAAAATTTAATTTCAAATAAATTAAAATCATATTCAAAATCAGATGAATAATATTGTTCGAGATTGCGAGAACATTTTCTTGAAACAACTTCCCACGGCTGTTGGATACTCGAGACGGTCAATACATCTGGAAAACACCCGTGAATAGTTAGCTTATTTATTCTTACTTAACTAAAAACGTGCTCATGCTGTTCCGGTGCAGTTAAGCGATCTTATTGTTTACTGCCAAGAAGACGTAGATTCTGAAAGAGTATCAGATATACGTAAAAATATCAAGTACAAAACATTTCCTAAATTTCACTGCAATCCAAAACCTTGCACGTGCAACAACAAGCAATAGGCGTACGTGCGCACTCAACTTCTTAAGACAATGTTTACATCGTTCTTAACTACACCGAATCTTGTCTGTCGCCCTAGCCAACCGACCACGCCCTAGAGGACCCGTAATCTAGCTAAGTCCCAGAGAAGGGTGAGACAACCAATAGTAAAAGCTCCCCCCCTTTCCGACACTTTCCCGATTAGCATATTCAAGAATAAACCCGGAAGGAAGTGGAAATGAAAGCCTGCATGATCCATCATACTGCCCAAAGTCAACTCTGATTGGATACAGGAAAGAAGAAGGGATCCCAAGTGGAAACGGGTCAGTGAACTATTTAAAAAGGACAATGCAATGTACCACCACTTATTCTCTTCACAGATAAGTCATGACTTATTCTCGCGAAAATTCACAATAGCGCGTGGAACTTCACCTTCACGCCCGCGAGAGACAAGAAGGGTGTTTGAGAATAAGAGACTCCGTTTAGTAAGGCAATAAAATATCTGACAAGTAATGTCATGAAAATCGTATTTAAGACTTCAATACTTTCCTGCTCATAATTATTTGTACTAGTGTCATAAAACATCTGGAAAACTCTAGCGGAACGTGCTCATACTCCCAGTGCAGTAGAACCTAATGGGTTTACTGCCGGGAGAACCCCAAAGTAGATTCAGAACGAATATCAGATATGCGTAAGCATTGAGTACAAACATTTACTGCAACCCAAAGCCCGTATGTGCAACAACATGCAATGACCATACGTGCGCACGTCGTGCGTACGTGCGTCGTACGTGCATCGATCGTATAGGAAAATTGACCACGCCCAAGCGGACACTTCTTATAGCCAAGTCCCAGAGAGGGATGAGGCAACCAAAGACAGGTGACCAATGGAAAAGGCTCGCCACCTTCCGACACTTTCCCAATTAGCAAATTCGGAACTGAGCCCGGAAGGAAGTGGAAATGAAGGCGTGCATAATCTATTGTGCGACCCAAGATCAACCACTGATTGGTTAATTAATAAAGGAAGAAGGGATCCCAAGTGGAGCGGGATCAGTGAATCATTTTAAGAAGGGACTACGTAATGTACCCGCACTTACTCTTTCCAAATACTTCTTACACTGAAGGATAAGTCACGACCTACTCTCACGGAGGAGGACCGGAGAGATGAGTCGTTTAGCTAGCTGATTCTCACGGATGAGGACCGGAGAGATAAGTCGTTTAGCTAGCTGAGTTTAATAAGAAGTTCTTTCCACGATTGTGAATTAGTGTACAGTTGAATTGATCTCATCAAGACTGGATTGCATAGAACCTGACCACTTGTAATCTCACTTGGAGACAAGGAAGAACTAAAGAGTTGCAACATTGCAAGGGAACGTCATAACAAGCCACCGAAGAGAGACTGGAAAATCACGATACATTGCAAGTAAGTCCTTACAGCTAGTACTCATTCTTGATTTCTCGGCTTATGTAAAAGACGGACGGATAAAGTCCAACTACGGAAGCTTCCCGGACATACTCTTGAACAAGACCAGCTACAAAAGCCACATTGGCTTCTCAATCCCTCCAACTACAAGTTGTTCCCGCCACAGATGGCACACAGCTTCGCATAATCTCCATTTAGGCTCTCTTACGACCGATATTTAGAGGCAACTACACACGTGTTAAGATAAACACAATAGCATTGCAGTGTTCAATCAGAGCACTACAATCACCATAACCTCTTAGTGATAATATTGAATAGATTATAACCTGCTTCATTCATAGTAAATATATTTCAACACCACAAGATTATCAAGAAATATAAAGTTCGTCTGTAATTCTTCTCTTTGTAAATTAATTCAAATAAATAGAAATAACAAAGACATGTGTTAATTATTAATCAGTGCATTCACCCTTTACTTGCCCAGCAACCCCACACAACATCTAGTAGGTTTTTTGTTCTAAGTTAATTATTGCACGTTTGGCTGACGAGTCAAATTGTGGGATTAGTTTCTGAACAATGGGATAACACTACAGGCTGCAATAAGTCGACATTAGTATTAATTCCTCTCTTCACAAGCCCTTCAGAAAGGGAACCTACAAGCATTTAATGTCCAGAAGTTCTTGCGCATGTTCACTACGTAAGACCAGCAACTCGCGCCAGAAAGTGGTGCAGATTTTCTCTTATTCGCAGATCTCCTTCTTATTCTATAAATTGTAAACTACCTCTTTTTACAGTAAATGATTATCATCACCAATTGAAAATAAATTGAAATTAAATGGAATAAACAGCAGAAAGAATTATATGTGTTAATTATTGAATCAGTGCATTAACTCTTCCACTTGCCCACGCATTCTCCCACACAACATCTAGTGGTTTCTTAGTTAATTCTAGACGTTTAGTTGACGAGCCGGATTAGCGGAATTAATTTTTATACAAATATTAATCGATAATTGAATTAAAAATACTGTTATTAAAGTATTATTTAAAACCATTTTAAAAATAATCTTTTTTGAAAATATTTGAAATTTTTCAAGATAAATTATAGGAACTGAGAAATAATTTCATGAGCAGCATATAGCAGATTTAATATATAACAACAAAACGTATTTTCACTACAGTGTTAGAAGGTAATATTTAAAATATTTTCAATATATATAATTTATGTGTAATTTCACAAAAGATAGTAGAAACATTTTTAATTATTTTGTAATTATTTCAAGAACTGAATAGCTTTTATTAAAATTATTTTTAACTTTAATACAGCTTACAACACTTAAATACAATTTGAATACTGTACGTTAAATTTTTCAGATAGGATAAACAATTTATTAAAATTATATAAATTAGAAATATATTTTGTACATTAAAATGCAACCATCATTTCTAAATGGATTATTGGTTAATTATCAATTACATAGTATTGTTATTTATAATATTGAAATGAAAAATACAACTAACTATTTATTTTTAATCAAAAAAATGCAAATTTCATACTTGGAGATCGGCAGGCAAGGGCAGACATTAAAGAACTTTTTCCAGAACCACTGAAACATAAATAATAATATATTAGAAAAAATTTTATAATAAAAAGAATATATTGAAAAAAATACATATGTAGATAAATATATATCATTAAACATTATTTTTAATACTAAAATTTTTATAGATAGATTTATATTGTACGTTTTCATTTTCGACATTCATTAAATAGATGGTTATCAGTATGATGTACAGACCACCTTAGAGTAAAGTATATATATGATACCTAACAATAAAATATAGAAGATTTTACAAATAGGCGATGTGCTGAATATGCTCATTTTTAAATATTTTATATATACTAAAAACTAAGTATATCCTACTCTATTTACAGGATCAATTACGACAAACAATAATTCGTATGCTTCGCTCTTTATTAGGACAGTTAAAAAGTATATTTAGTACTTATTATCTCAGGTAAGGCTGGATTGAATTCTACTAATGCAATATGAAATATGAAATAATTGATTAGTAAATTGAAATATAAATAATACTCAATTTTCTAGCTAAGTTTAAAATATATAGATATAAATCAAAGATGATATTTTTTAAGTCTTATTTCATTTTTAACGTTCTGAATGTTAAAAATATATTTAAGATTAATAAAAAACGACTCATTACAAATATTGTAGCAGAACTGCAATATGCTGTATTAACTTTTTCATAGCATAAAGAATCAATTTTAAAGCAATTAATTGATTAAAATTCGTAAAGGATAAAAATTAAATTTTACACTATTTATAACATTCTTACTCATTAGTAAATCAACTATAAACATAAAGTAAGAAAGTTCAATTACATGTCAAGCCAATAACCAACAAACTATAAGTAATGGAAGATATCCTTGAAGATTGCTTATAAATATAGAGAACTATCGATATATATTATATACCTATATATATATATATATATATATATATATATATATATATATATATAATATAAGCATGCTCATATTCTTACATACTATAATTACATTTACATATATTGAGCAATCATAGTATACCATATCTTTGTTCAATAACAAATTTACTTTAAATCTAATATATATTATTTTATTAAAACATGTAAGTAAGCCTTATCAAGTAAATATATTAATTAGAAATAAAATTTAAAAGTTTGTGTAAATGGTTATGACTTTGTAATAGCTATTTCAAATAGAATATGCAGTTTTATTATATTAATAAAGATAATAAGTATGAAGTCGTTAAATTCCAAACCGACAACTAAATTATTTATTTATTCACGTTAAAAAATAATATAAACATATAAACACATAAATGAGATGATAATATGATTTGCGTAGCTTTAAATGCAATTGTAATATTTTGTTACAGATTCGAGACACTTGATTATGCAAACAATGATAAATTAATAAGTTTCAGACATAATTTAAAAATATATTATAATAAATTTATTTAAAATAAAAATTCAATATTCTTCGTAATTGAAACATTTTTCAAGACCTTTATGTTTCAATATACGTATATGACATAACCAGCTGTTCAGAGTGACCACGAGTATTTCGAGAAGAACACTTATATCGAAGAATTCGCACAATACTCTGCCACGCGAGATATTATCAAGAACCTTCGCCAATCTTCCAAGATTATGAGAGAAGGTATGCCAACCAAGGTACATCCACATGGAACACGACTTCCAAACATAAATCTTCCCAAGTTTTCTGGAAGGCAAGAAGACTGGTTTCAGTTCTACGACCTTTTCACGGCATTGGTCATGGACAACGATGAAATTAGCGAGGTTAAAAAGTTGTATTATATCCGCGCAGGATTGGAAGGTCCAGCAGCGCATGTAATCTCTGGACTCTCATTAACCAATGAATCACTTGCTCCAGCCTGGGAGCTACTAACTGATCGTTACAATAACAAACGGCTATTAATTCGATCATGTTTCGCTAGCCTCTTCCACCCATCAACTCCAATTAAAGGGGACACAGTTGCGTTAGAGAAACTCGTCAACAAATACGTTAAGGTTAAACAGTTATTAGTATTGGAAATCATAGAAGAGTTGTGGAACTGCATCATGGTACATCAGATCTCTCAACAACTCAACCGTACCACCAGGGAATTATGGGAGTCATCAATTGGCACTTCCACTTTATACCGGTACCTCGATCAACTAAAGGCTTTTCTAACATCTAGGCTGAGACGGTTCCAATCTTCGGCAAGAAAAACATCAAACACTTACCAGGTATCAGTGAAAATGCGCAGTGAGTTGTCACTCAGCAGTAAGAAACGATTCAAATGCGTGCCAGTGCTGCACCAACACTCATTCTATTCTTACATGTCCAAAAATTTGGATTATGGCAGCAGTAGAGAAACTGAATTTGGCAATACACCGGGGACTCTGTCTCAACTCAACTACTCAAGCCAGTAGTTCAAATCCATCATGCAAATTGGATAAAGGTGCAATCGTCGATATACCAAATTATACTACTACGCTATCACTACCCACGGCCATGATAGAAATACGGTCTAAAACTACAACAGTACAAGCTCACCTTCTCATTGACACAGGCTCAGAGCTCACATTCTTCAACGAAAAACTCATTAGACAACTCAATATTCCTCGAAGACATTCCATCATTTACATTTGTGGAATTGGGGGATCTCAATTAACTAAGACACAAGGTATTGTGTCACTTACACTCAATCCATTCGAACTCTATTATCACCATACAGGCTCACATTCTTAAGACATTAACCACAGCAATGCCTTCCTGCTAACCAACTCCACACGATTGGCCACACTTGAAGAACTTAACATTGGCCGATCCGCAGTATTTTATACTTCGTTCAGTAGACATAATTCTTGGAGCAGACATGTCTAGTCAGATCAATAAGCCTCGGGTCATCAGTCGTTCTCCATCTATGCTAATGGCGCAGTTATCCATTTTTGGATGGCTCGTGTTGGGACCTGTAAACTCCATAAGATCTCCGAGTCCACAGTATGACGAAGGTACATTACAAAAACTACTGACGAAGTTTTAGGTGCAGGAAAAAATACAATCAAGCAGCGCTCATAAGTCTAGACCTAAAGAATAGCAGTACGAAAAAATCTTCAACAGTACTCACTCATATGATTCAACCGAGTGGTACATCATTCGGATTTCTCTGAACACGTCTGACAACTGTCTCGGCAATACTCTCAACGCTGCTCGTCGCTGCTTACAGAACATACTAAGAAAATGTTTAAGAGATAAGGAATATCAACGAAAATATCAGCACTTCATGACAGTATATGAGGATCTGAATCACATGACGAAGGTTTCTTCAGCGTCCAATCGTCAAATTCAATACTATATTCCACATCACAGTATACTCAAACCTGAAAGCACATTAACATCAGGTCTTTCAATCAACGCATCATGCATGCTGGACCCAATTTGAATCTAGAAATATCAGACGTCTTGATCTGGAAAAGAAGACAACGATGTTTGTTTTCCACCGTTATCACAAAAATGTACAGGGGATTAACATTCACAAAGCTGAATGAGACCTTCGGAGAATCCTGTGGATAAACGAACAACAGGGAGAAGTACGTTATCACTTAAAAACTAATCAAGGTCCCACTTCAATTACAAGACCTCTGCATAGCGGGCTGTTTTCCATCGGAAAAAGAGTATGCAACTCATCAAGATGTTATTACCGCAATCAACGCAGATCATTATCGGACCACTTCAATTACGTTCGATGATTGCTCTACCAAAATTCTTGGATTACGGGGATATCTGCATCAAGACATTTTTAATTTCACAACAGGAACATGTCGGTGTAAGATAAAACTGTTCAGGATTGGAGCACTTTCTAAGAATTTTAATTTTCGGAAAATTATAATTATGCTAGCTCACAAAATCATACACATTAATTCAAAAATTTCTTGATTATTCTAAAGCCTTTGCGTTCGAATGTCCTATATCCAACCATCTAAAGATTGCTTTCCTAGAATCCTCAAAACTTCTAATATCAACATCTGTCCATTGTTGCAAGCTAAATAACCTGTCGCACGGATATAAAGCAAGCTCGCGAGAAGTCATGGCTTTCTCTTTTAGTAAAGATGCCATGGCACGAAACACGGTCTGTCTTAGCAAGATCACCAGGGATCAGTTGCTCTTTATCAGCAGAGCCTGCACGGAGTGCACACGCCTTCCGCTTCGTAAGCATATTCAAGGGGCTACTATTATATGAATCGCCAAAGAGGGAACATGCTGTACTACAAGGCCTCACTACATTATTACTACATTCTAGATCAAGACGCCACAAATTCTGTTCTACATCTGCATCAAGATACCACCACTTCTATACTACATCTTCATTAAGACGTCACTACTTTTATTACTACATTCTGGATAAAAACGCAACAACTTATATATTCCTTCTGCATCAAGACGTCACTACATTCTATGCTACATCTGAATTAAAATACCAACATGTAGCACTATGCAAGGAGTCTCCCGAGATTTACGACTTCTCACTTGTCCATGTAGTAACCCTCCGCCAAGCACACTACACCAAGAGGACCCGGAGATTTACAACCTTCATATTGCATGCTACCTCCACGTATAAAATCACTGAGGAGCGGAAAATCTCAATGATTCTCATCATTAAGTAGTATCATATTTGTGTATTTAAATTGTGTAATTAAAACTCAATAAGTAGCACGAAAAGCAAATGCGTTAATTACTGAATTGAAGCATTAACCTCTCCACTTATTCACACTTTTCCACCAGTAAATACTGGATATGGTCTACTCCAACCAGCTTGATCCTTCGACTACCGGGTGACTGGAATTCCAAACAATAACCTTACGAAACGCCTCATTTTATCTGAAAGTAGCTCAGATATTTTGATCCATTAGGATTGTTTTACCTGTCATGATCAAGGCAAAAATATTCAATCGCGAGCTATGGTTGCACTAGCTCAAATGGGAACGCTATCCTCCCAATTGTCGTCACAATGACTGATCATTAGAAGAGATCTCGCTAACTTGACCAAAATTACAATACCACGTTGCCTGAATATAAGAGCTATCTGACACCTACAGCTACATGGGATTTTTCATGGATCCCAATTAGCAATCTCAGCAGTCATATACATAGCCGTGCACGATTCAAATAGCATTATGACTGCATTAGTGTGTTTCAAGACTAAAGTTGCAGCCTTCAAGTTGACCACAATATTCCCATCGAATATAACACAGTACGTCCTAGCTATGCTGAAGACAGACGTTAAAGCAACCCATCTTTGGACAGACCCCCGGGCAACTGTCACATGAATACAGTCCCATACATCAAGATGGAAAAAATATGTAAGAAACAAGGTTTCTATCATACAGGATCTTACCCTAATGCTCACTGAAGATAATTTCCTGCAAAATCGAATCCAGAAGATTGCGCCTCACGAAGCATCATTGCATTACAACTTCAAGAATATCCATTGTGATGAATCGGACCACCATTAATGAGCAGCCAACGTTGACAATATCAATATCAGCAAGTAGCGCGACCCGGCACATCATTATTAGCCACAGCACCAAAAAACACAATATCAGTGGGATATCATACACGGATATTCATCACTCAATAAATTGCTGAGAATGATTGGCCTGTTTCATATTCATCACACGTCTAAGAAGAAATCATGGGATATCGCCTACTCTCTAGATAACCAAGGGAGCCTTAGAAAAGGCAAGGATCTTCTGGATAAAGGCAATTCAAACGGCATACTTTTTTTTACGAATTAAAAGTCTTTAACTCCAAAACGCACTATCGGAGAGATCTTGCTCACCCTTGAAGAGCTCACCACATTGTTTGCTGAAATCGAGGTAATTCTCAACTCCAGACCGTTAGAGCCAATTAGTGACGATCCCGATGATATTTCGGCACTCGCTCCAGAACATTTTCTTATAAGGAGCTTGCTCATAACTATTCCAGAAGCGTCTATCAAGGAACTGCCAATTTCAGGATTGTCTCTGTTCGAGATTGTGAGAAAAGTTTCTTGCCCCGACTTCTCACGGTCGCTGGACACTCGAAACGGTCAATACATCTGGAAAACTCCAGTGAATAGTTAGCTTATTTATTCTTTCTTATCTAAAAACGTGCTCATGCTTTTCCGGTGCAGTTAAACTTGTTGTTGTTTACTGCCAAGAAGACGTAAATTCGGAAAGAGTATCAGATATACCTAAAATATCGAGTACAAACATTTCCTAATTTTCGCTGCAACCCGAAACCCCGTACGTGCGACAACAAGCACGTTTAAGACAACGCTCGCATTGTTCTTAACTACGCCGCATCTAGTCGATCGCATTGGAAGATCGACCATGCCCAAGAGGATCCTTCATCTAGCCAAGTCCCAGAGAAGGGAGAGGCGACCAAGGAGAGGTGACCAATAGTAAAGGTTCCCCACTTCCGACACTTTCCCGATTAGCATATTCGAGACTGAGCCCGGAAGGAAGTGGAAACGAAGGCGTGCATAATCCATTATGCTGCCCAAGGTCAAACTCTGATTGGATAATTGAAAGAAGAAGGGGTCCCAAGTGGAACTGAGTTAGTGAACTATTTAAGAAGGGCAATGTACCACAGCTTACTCCTATTCCTATTCTTCTCATGATGGAAAGGATAAGTCACGGCTTATTCCTATTCCGATTCTTCTCATGACTGAAAGGATAAGTCACGACTTACTCTCACGGTCGAATACCAAAGACAAAATCGTTCAGCTGAGTCTAGTAAAAGTTCTTTCTACGACTATGAATCAATATACAGTTAAAATTGATCTCATCAAGCTTAGATTGCATAGGTTCTGACACCGCTTGTAATCTCCGTTGGAGACAAGGAAGAAACTTAAGAGCTATAATTATTGGAAGGGAACTTCACATCAAGCCAACGAAGAGGGACTGGAAAATTGACGCTACACTGCGAGTAAGTCCTTGCCACTAGTACTATGGAAGAATCACGCTACACTGCAAGTAAATCCTTACCGCTAGTACTGATTCTTCATCTCTCGGCTTTACTCTGAAAACGGACGGCAGAAAGTCCGACTACTGAAGCTTCCCATGCATGCTCTAAAAGCAAGACCAGCGGTTGACGCCACACAGTGGCTATTTCATTTCCTTCAACGATGAGCTATTCGCGCCACACTAGTAGAGCACATTTCAGCAACGATCAGTTGTTGACGCAACAGATGGCGTACAGCTCCGCATAACCTCTATTTTAGTCTCTTACACGGCCCATTATTCAGAGGCAACTGCAACACGTGTTGAGTTGAGACACGACAAGATTATAGTGTTCGATCAGAGCACTACAACGATCATAACCTCCAAACTGATAATATTCAATAGATTATAACCTTTTTCTTTTCACAGTAGATCATAATCTCACCAGTTGCATGCAGAGAATAAGGAATTAATCATCCTCTAGTTCTCCAATGAAGGTATATCTTAACATCACACGATTATTAAGAAATATAAAGGTCATTGTAATCTCATCATGATTAATCATCCCAACTTGGAAATAAATTGAAATAAATGGAATAAACAGCAGTAAAAATTCTATGTGTTACTTATTGAATCAATGCATTAACCCTTCAATTGCCCACGCATTCTCCGATACAACATCTAGTGGTTTTTTCTAAGTTAATTCTACACGTTTGGCTGACGAATCTAATTAGTCGAATTAATTTTTTGAACAAACACGTATACCTTATTGGTTTATTTTTTGAACAGTCTCGCTGGTAATTCATACAACAACATGCACAACAACTCTGGTCACAATAGTCAGCTCACTATTTACAGCGGCAACAATTAATTTTCAAATGGGCAGTCAATGGTGCTGACTGCATTACAAGAATGAATTCTGACAGTCAAGGGTACTGACTGCATTACAAGAAAGGATTCAGACAGTCAAGGGTGCTGACTGCATTACAATAAAATACTCGAGAACAAGAAGCATAGTATCGAAGTACTCTTTATCACGAAGGTACATGTCAGTAGTCTCTATCTCAAGTAATTATTCATCACAGGATCAGGTAAAGGCAACTGTATCAATGTGAGTAAGAATAGGATTTCATTTGCCATACGTCCTTTCAAAGAGTGTGCACAATTCTTTACTAAGCTTTGCAACATTAGCAAAGTCTAGCACTGTTAATAGCATTTCACTCACCACACTTACTTTCAAACAGTGTGCACAATTCATTGCTGATCCTTACAACATCAGCAATAACATAGTCACTATGACCAAGAAGAAACTGCATCATTGCGAAGGAACAGATTTCACACTCTCCTATGAGAAGTGAATTCAGCTTATCCATATTGTAAATGTTAATAAACCATATGTTACGAAGTCTACAAACACTATATATATATCTACAGTCCTTCCACTTAACTTCTTCCCAAACATCCGCTAGGGCGGGCGGCAAATTATTATAAAATTATCGAAACATTGACAGTTGCAGCCAGGAAATCAAACAGTTTCTAACACCTTGATATAAATAAATATATAGTTGATACATCATTATATTTCATAATATATACAAATACTGTACTAATTCATTTTTATTTTTATCTATCAAATTTGAAGGTTACATTAAAAACTAAATTTCCTATATAAAATTAGACAGAATAATAAGAAACAAAAATAAGAAAGAAATAAGGGAAGATATTTATATTGAGATAAATTTTAATTATATTTGAGATACAAAGTTTCATACTAAAAATTTGTCAATATTTCAAATGATGAAACTGTATGTTACATATATAAAATATAAATGATAAATATACATGAGAATCAATCTACTGTCTAGAACATATGTGCATTAAAATAAAAAAGGAAAATAACATACCTTCCGCCTAAGATTCCTGTTAATTCTCCTGATTTTAACATTCCTTTGACTGAAAATAGATAAAAATGTATTTGATAAATAATGAATGAAATTTTATTAAATTTGACTTTTATAAACAAGTTATTAAATTTATTTCAATTCACTGGAATATTAGGAAAATTTAATATAAGACTTGATATAAAAATATAGTATTTATTTTGAATATATTATGCTCATTTTATAATTACTAATTTTTTTATAAAAATCTGATTTTTATATTATTTAGATGAATTTTGATCGTAATAAATATTAGATTAAAATATTAATTATTTATAACATATTAAAAAATTAATTACTTATATTAATTATTTTATATAATTTATATACTTTTATATAATTTTTCTAAATAAATAAATAATTTAATTAATATATATTTACATAAATACAATAAGCGTATATTAAACATTATAAATTTAAATATTTTGTAATAAATAAATATATTTTACTATCTAAAAATTATTAATACTTCAAGCAAATTGAACTATTGGTAAATTAGAATAAAAAACTTGTAATGTGAAGCAAAGTCAATTAAATGCCATTGTTCGAGAATGCGAGAACATTTTTCCTTTTTTTGTCAGTGCAATAAAACATCTGGCAAGTACCATCGTAAAATTTGTATTTGTATTTCAAAACTTGTAACTGTAGCTCAAAATTCTCACGCATTAGTGTCATAAAACATCTGGAAAAACAATACCATAAACACGGGAAAACCTATAGTTTTGACATCTGCATTTTCGTTCCGCTCGGCAACTACATCAAGCATTACTGCAAGCGGACCTTCCTTCCCCTTCCCGCTGTCTACAAGTTGCAATGCTGTCACCAGATGTGTCAGCGATGCCCCCCCCCTTTCTGCTGCCTACATGCTGTCGCATGCAGCAGCAGAAACTAGAGATCTGCTCATCATGAAGACCGAGAAGCGACTAGGCCCTTAATTAACTCCGAAGCCAAAAGAGGCGCTGTCCTCGCACTATAAGGGAGGAGTCTCTGATTGTTAAGTATAATAACAGAATAAAAAGCATATACTTCAGCCATATCTTTATTGTATTATTATAATATCCCTTCCACTTGTGACCTGTCATCGCTATCACACCCGTGGTCTCTGAGTTGTCAACGGCATCAAATTGTATCCGTTGAACCGGCCTTGATCAAACAAGTCGGAACGACGAGTTGCATTTTGAACAGCCGTGATAATTAACAATAACTGCAATATGGATCATTGTTACGGATTGAAGCAGTTGAAAGCGAAATACAAAAATGGGAGAGGTATGAGCTCCCGGACAGTTTGTTTATAAACACAAGCCAGCGAATTCAAGAAATTTTTCTACGCTAAAAACTCGAATATACGGTTACAATTCCGAAAAGTAATGCCGATGAACCTTCCAAGGCTATGCCCTATTGACGTCACGACAAATATCGCCATAGCAACAGACAACGGATCGCTACCGGCGCCTAAAACTACCACGAGAATATTTAAGGGATGCGCTTCACGCGCAGCGCTCAGTCTTTGTCTCAATTTAGTCTAGTAACAATTACGCAGTCATCATAACGGGCGCACTATTCAGTCTTCAAGCTTCTCTCTACAACCATTACTCACTGTAGCGGTACACCTACGTAATACTCAACTGGTAAGCAATCTATCAAAACAATAGTGACGCCACATTATCAGAATCCGTTGACTAAACTTAAAAGTAATAATGCACTAGTGCTAACATAAATCAAGATTGAAAATATTGAAATCATACTACATATATTAACGGATCACACCGACGACTAAGGCAGCAGAAAACTGGTACCCCTTAGACGACTTCGGTACGACAGCGGCCGCGCTCACGCATACTACGACTGCATCGACTCCTCACACCACGGAGAGAATACTGTCCTCAGCACGTAACACAATTGAAGAAACTTCCCCTATTTATTCACTCACACCTTCATTCATATACTTCATGATCATTAACTATTTATTATATTATTATATTTAATAAAAGAAAAAACAAGAAACACTACAAGTAGTATTGATAATTGCGTTGCCCCTTCCACTTGCCAGCAATACCTCCACCCACCATCAAAGGGAGGTTTTCTGTCTGATCCCAGAGAATCATGTATATTTAAAATAAATATGACACAGAACTTGGCGTACATAAACATATAATTTCTATAAAAGTTTTTTTTTTAATTTTTAATGTCACATAAGATTTAATTTTTGATATTTTCAATTTCAAATTTTAATTTTATATTTAAGAATTTTCAATTTTCATGCAGCTAATAAGCCGTGCTATTATTAATGTATCAAATAAAATTTTAATTATAATTTAATAATAATGTAGTAACGTATGAACACTTCAGTATGAACGATACAAGTTGAAACTACTTTTAAAATATTAATTCCAAATAAATGTTTAGTCAATTTTTATTGAAAATTGAATTAATAATTTTACTATATAATCATATTATTGTTGGGAGGAACATTCACAATGTGATATTTCTGAAAATTTATAGCAATTACATAATCATTTCAAACTGAAAAAAATATTTTCTGCATTTTACATATTGCTATATTTTAACAATCATGGTACAATTAAAAAATAATTAGTATTATAATTTCGATTGAATAAACAATATTTCACTAATTGTATAATATGTTATGCATACAAAATTTCAAATACGCTATACAAAATACAATAAAAGCAAAATATTATTTTGTCCAATATATTTGTTTGCAATAAAGTATTGTTTAAATGGCCTTAGTTTGTGTTATTGATAAAATACTTACTACAAAAAAATATATATCAGTTTTAAAAAACTGTTAAATCTTTTATTCATATATCTTACATTACATATTTCCTATTACATACGATATCACATATTTTTGAAATTTATTGAATTTTAATATTTACTTTAAATTAATTTAATTGAAGTTCAGTATTATACCTCATATTAAATGCAACATAAACTTTCAATGCGTATTTATTTTGTGTACAATAATATAGAAAAAATAATATAGAAAGTATAAATTATATATCATTAGACATTTTTAAAAACTAATAGTAAGTAATTATTATCATTAGCAATTGTATTGGTAGTAATATGAATAGTATAAAGCTTACCTTCAGCTATACTGATAATTGCATAACTTCAATATTTAAACAAAATTATCTTAGTTATTTAATTATATAAATGAATTTTAAAACTATCAAAAATAACAAATTCTATATAATTTTTTAAATGATATTGTAAACTATTTAAACATACCATTATGAATGACTTGCTTATGAACTTGTCGATCATAATTAATTGTATAAGCTGAAAGATTTCTCCAAGTTATTATAGTACTATTGTTATATGTAATTTCAGATTTATTTTTGGGAACAAATTTCATTATTTTTAGATATATAATTGGGTATGGTATGCACTTAATAATAACTGTATTAAAGCTATATTTATTACAATATTGATTATTACTTGGTAATAAATACTTTCGCATTAATAGAAGTACAAGATAAAACAGAACTGTATAAATCCCAACATTCACTTCCAAACATTCAACTCTAAATAAGGATAGATATATGTAAAATAATACGTAATATTGAATACAACTATACAAAAAAAGCATTTCATAATGAATTATTTTTAATTTAATATAAATGAAATATGGAATAAGTTATTAAATGAAAAATTATTTTTATATTTTTTAAAACATGTTCAATGCAATAATCATATACTTTTAAATTCAAGTATGTAACTAAAATTTATACACAAATATAAATAAATTGAAAACAAGCAATAATATTTATACGTTTATATAATCGTATTATACTTTATATTTAATTTACATTAACAGACTTGAAATTAATAGAAATTTTTTAATGAAAATAAGTTTAAGCTTAACAAATTTTTATTAAAAAAATATACCCAAATTTTATACAAAATAAAATAATACCACTTTTAGCAATTTACAAACTTCAATGAAAATTCGAAAATTCTTATTAAAGTTGTTATAAAATAAAAATGAAAATGATTCAAGGATTAATTTAGTAATAACTTTTAGAATGTTAATTATTTTTATCTTCTTGTCAAATACTAAAATATGAATTGCAAACTATTTAATGATACTTTACATCAATGTATCAAAATTATAGATTCAATTTCATACTATTATATTGTTTATACTAAAAAATTAGAGTTTCTTATTAATTGAATTTATAATCATTGTTCTAATACATCTATAACCAAGAAGCAGCACTTTTAATTTTGTAAATTATACTGTACAAAATTATGTTATTAATTGTATCCTTTTGAATATTAAATATATATATAATTTTAACTATATTCAATCCTCTTTACATAATTAATTTACAAAGTTAATTTATAATATATATTATTCTTCATAATATATGTATAATATATATTATAATTTCTAATAAATTTTCGTTTTGCAGTTCCACGATATTTTCTGCATCTTAAATTACAACTATTATATATTATTTATCAGTATTGATTACTTTCACAGTTTATTTTCATTAAGGTTGAGCTAGGATGTTTATATGCATAATGAGAGGGAGCGGAAAATTTCTTTAAAAAAAATCATCGAAAATTTTTATATAAAATTAATGTTAAAAATTGATTGGACTTCGTCTACTTATAAACAATTATCATTATTATTACTGTTATTATTGAAAGTCAGTTACATTTGTTAAACACATTTACAGATACTTAGTATAGTACGAAGATATATAAATATATATTATAGCCATTAACATTCTTGAGCGAGATATGGTGTCCACATTTACTAGTAAATTTCAAATGGTTCAATAACCGAATTTCATCATTAAATGTCTACAAACTGTTAACATATATTTAATCAATATTCTTGTAATCATAACACAATATAATATTATGTATAAATTGAATGTAAAGTATTATTAGTATAATGTGTTACTATTTATTAAGTTCATAAAATGTATAAAAGTCAAATTGTCATAATATAATATGTGTCGTACGTGCATCTCATGATTAACAGTTGTTTTTTTATTATGATTTTTGTTAATTCGTAAAGTATTTTGTACAAACCTTCTTTTATAATAAGAAATTGTTAATATCTTCGAATGCTTTAATACATTAATTTTTATTATTTTGTTTTCTTTAAAATTCGTTATTTCTTTTATTTGAATTACAATATTTTTGTTTACACACTCTTACTATTATTTATATTTAATTTTTCATATAAATTAAATAATATTTAGAAACTTATTTATAGCATAACAGAAGTCATTCACCGATAGTAATACAATTTGATTTTATGAAGTCTTAATGTAATAATACAAATAAAAAGTTAGCCAATGTTTCGATAGCTTTAATTTACCGCGCGCCCTACCTGCTTGGGAAGCAGGTAAGTGGAAGGGCTGTAGAAATACTATTGTTTGATTGGATTTATATGTTATGGAAAGGTATACACTATGCTCAGTCACGTCGTTGCAGTTGCTTTGAACTGATATTGTGTTGAATAAGTTGTCTACTCGAGATGTTCTTTAATGATTATGATGTTGTTGATATTGTAAGGATCAGCAACTGATTATGGACTCCTTATTAGTGAGTGTGATTTGTGCTATGAATACTAGTGTTTGAGAATGAGAGACTCCGTTTAGTAAGGCAATAAAACATCTGGCAAGTAATATCATGAAAATTGTATTTAAGACTTCAAAACTTTCCTGCTCATAATTATTTTGCACTAGTGTCATAAAACATCTGGAAAACTCTAGCAAAACGTGCTCATACTCCCAGTTCAGTAGAACTTAATGGGTCTACTGCCGCGAGAACCCCAAAGTAGATTCAGAACGAATATCAGATATGCGTAAAGCATTGAGTACAAAACATTTACTGCAACCCAAAACCCGTACTTGCAACAACATGCAATGACCATACGTGCGCACTCGGCCTTTAAGACAATGCTTGCATTGTTCTTGGCTATGC